GAATGTATTTTCTTTGAATCTCCTGATCATTAAACTTTTCAGATATGAGGAATTGGATCTGAATTCACTGCCTTGACTATGAATTTCAATCTTATGATATGTCCTTTGTTGAAGGTCAGAAGAAGCTCCTTCAACCTGAGAGCAAAGTAGCACCTTAAACTCCAGGGGGTGTAAATAATGACCGGCAATGTGTCCACTAGTTACCTTATGTAGGAGATTAACTCCAGGCCTGATGTACACACATCCCTGTGATGACTTCTCAGTTTCCCTTCAACTTCTGTGCCTCTTCATTAAGGTTTCTGTAAACAGATTTTTGACAAATTTCCTCCTTCAAAAGGAAATAGACCTTATCAGATGTGAAAAGTCACTTTGATTTTTTCCTTCTCTTCCTAGGACCTGAAACAGGTCCTTTTGAGCTACATCAAAGGCTATCCAAGGAGAATAAGGTCTGAAATAACCACAGGTACAGTTTTAGAATGCAGGTCTGAGGAACAGAGTGCAAAACAAGGGCAGGACAGCAGGCACACACAGGAGATTCTTGGCTATGTCTTTGGCAGTTTATCCTCTCTGCATGTCAGTTTCTTCTACCTAGAGAAAGGTGGATTGGGATTCATGTCAAGGCATGACATAAAATCACTTCGTTCATGAGTGGGTGTTGATATAACCAACTGACTCATTAAATAAGAAACACAGAACCAATGTAAAAGAGAAAGCTGAGAGGTCAGAGCTCAGAACTAAAATCTAACCCTTTTTCCTGCGAGCTCCTTGCTTCCTGAAACAGAGCAATTTCCTGTGTGTAAGTCTTTTCATAGTCTTTTGTTCTGTCTTCTCATTAGTTGTAATCCCAAACATGTGACTGCCTTGTCACTGTTTGTATGTACAGCCCCCCAGGTCTTAAAAGCATATGTTTCCAATGCTGGCTGTATCCCTGAACACACAGAGATCTATGGGATTAAAGGCGTGTGCCACCACCGCTACACTCTTTTTATGGCTCTAAAAGCTCTGACCCCCTGGCAACTTTATTTATTAACATACAATCAAAATTACATTTCAGTACAATTAGAATACCACCACATATTTCCTTTTCTATTTTAATAAAAAGAAAAAAAGAAAAAGGTTATAACTAACATAAGAAAAACTATATACAAAAGTACAATAACTATATACAATATATACAAGTAATAAATACCTAAACAGGTATTTGACAAATCAGAGCAAATAATTCCGTTATCTTTCCTATTTTGGTAAATCCAAGATATACCTAATGCACTTTCTATCCTAATTAATTTTCAACTATAACTAACTAATCTTCAACCATAACTAACTAATCTTCAACTCCCTCAGAGACCCACAAAGGAAATAATATTAGCTAACAAAAATAATAACAGGAAGTGCATGCAAGCAACTTCCAAAAAATTTGTGAGTTGACAGAAACAGCTAGCTGCCTGGGCAGTCACCTGAGGTTTCCGCAGTGTTGGGGCATCATCTTCAGCCTATAGGCTTAGCGTATCTGACAGACTCATTTGTGAA